AGAAAAGAAAAAAAAAGACAAATTAATACTCAGAAAGGTGTAGTTGCAAAGCTACCTGTTGCAAGAGCTATAGAAGTGCAGTCCTGAGGATGGGCCAGTGTCCTTCCCCTCCACATTGTCCACTGCTCTTCACTGTGCATTTGCCAATAACACTCCTACTCTTGCCCACTCTGCTGAACTTTCCCTCCTATTCTGCTCACCTGGGTTCACTCTGGATTTGTACATACAGCTCAGCCCTGGTGGAGATTCTCCTCGCCTGTATGGATTGCCTTCTGTGTCCACAAGTGACCAGATGCAGCGTCATTCCTACATCACTTTCATCAGGCTGCCTCCATTTCTAATCACTGTGTAATCGAATTCTTTATCTTCTTGCTTGGTGTTCAGAATTCTAGGGCATCCGTATGCATGTTGGCTTCCCTTACCTCACCCCACCCTCTTTCCCCTGGTCTCTGTTGAGGAAGGATTAAGCAGCAGGTGTCACTAGAACATGATCTTGTCTCAGCCCCTGAAACCTGCCCACCCTGAATAACCCTGTTAGGTTGTAAAATCTGTCGCCATATCCTCTAGCACCACAGTAACACACAAGCTAGCATTGGGCAACTAACGGTATACCATACGGCAAATTGATATTGATGCAAAGGTAGTGAATTGGAGCCAACCATTCTATACTACTTAACATCTTTGAGACTCAGTTTGCTCATTTATCAGATGGGAATGATACTTGTGTCATGTGATGACCAAGCTCAAACTTGGAGCCCATGGTTTGCGTTCATTTTTTCAAGCTAATCTTATAGAAGGTAAATGGCAAAGCGTTAAGCACACCTTTGAGGAAAACTATTGGTTTTTATTCTGAAAAACAGCTTGAATGGGGGCTTTTGGTTACATAAATGTAAAGAGAGTACAGGCAAAGCAAGGCCCCCTATCTGAGGAAAGACTACCAAACAATCCCTAAAACAGATGAGCAGCCTCACTTAGCATTGCCCCACTCTGTCATTTGTTCATTCAGTCAATCATTTACTGAGCAAACTCACCAGAAGTATTTTGGGTGAGGAATGGTGATAAACAGAGATGGATATCAGAGAGAGGAAATGAAAACACTCTCTTTGTTGGCGGGGGAGGGGGCGGAAATCTATCTGTGGGACAGAAAGATTGTTCAGGGGCCTGTGAGCTACAGTGAGGAGTGTGAGCTATAGTGAAGAATGTGAGGAGTTGGACCTGTTGCCTACGGGAATGGGGAGAAGTAGATGGTTTTAGACAGGGACTGACATGAGCAGCAGCATTGTGAATCGTAAACATCCCTCAGGAGGCTGCTACGTAGGGAATCAACTGGTGGGAGGTGGGGAGCGTAGAGGGGGAAACAAATGAGCACATATTCCAGTCATCCAAGTCAGTGGTGCATGGCATCAGAGGTGGAGAGAACTGGGCTAGCTGAAGAGATACTTGGGAAGAGGTGCCTAGCGTAAGGGGTCAGGGAGGAGAGGCATGCTATTTGACATTTAGATTTCTGTCTTGGAATTGGATGGAGGGGGCCATTCTGTGAGATGGGAGACACAGGAGGGGCAGATTTGAGCTGCCTGAACTTTGAGGGGCCAGTGTGAACGTGATCGGAATACTGCTGGGTAGACATGCCTAGAGCGTAGGAGAGAGGTCTGCACTGGAAGTTCAGCTAGAGAAGTCGTCTGTGCAGAGGGAAAAGTAAAGCCATGGGAGGGAAGTGTTGGCTGTGATTGAGCATCATGTCTCAATTTCCGTACTAGTGTCAGGGCAGATGCTTCATTCCTCTGCAAGAATTTTGACCATTTTGTTCCTATAAACTCCTGTGTGTGTGTGTGTGTGTGTGTGTGTGTGTGTGTGTGTACCACAGATGACTTCAAGAAGGATCTAAAGGCATGGCCTTTACCTCTGAACATGTAATCCCCCACCCCTTGCTGCCCATTATAAACACTGCAGTGTGTTTTCTTCACTCTTACCATTAAAATAGAAATCCTTCATGTAGTGTGCAAGACCCTGCATGATGTGGGCCCAGATAATTCTCCAGTCTAGTTTCCTTGTCGTCTTGGTTTGAACCATAACATCCTTTGTTCAGTCCTTACTGACTTACCCTAGTCCTCCAACCGCAGGACCTTTGCACAGCTGCTTTTCCAACCTGCCACAGTCTTCCCCAACTCTCGCCATCTAGTGGACACCCATCCTTCTTCCTATCTTCCTTTGCCAGGTCAACTTTTCTGTCTTAATGACCCCAATCAACCTTCATAGCTATTATCATATCTCCAAGTTTATATTTACTTGTGCAAGTCTGTGATTCATATGTTCCTGGACTACCCCAAAAGCTCCAATCTATATATATATATTTTTTTTTTAGTTGCTCTTAGTACTTAGCACAGTGCCAGATACATAGTAGGAATTCAGTAATCATGTGTTGAATGAGCAAATACTTGAAGGAGAAAGAACAAAAATGCCTTGGGATGGTGGTTGGTGGATTTCAAGTTGAGTCTTATTTATGGTGACCCAAAGAACAGCGGGCAAAATGTTGCCTGGTCTTGCACCATCTTCCAAACTGTGGTTATCTTTAAGTCCATTGTTGCAGCCACTGTGCCTTCCACCTCGGTATTCAGCTTCAGCACCATACCAGATAACACATGTTTTTCTTGAGATCTATAGGGTTTTCTTTGGCAATATTTAAAAAGTAGATCATCAGACCCTTCTTCCTAATCTGCCTTTGTCTGGAAACAATTAAAGCTATTAATTGTCTCCACTACAGGAGAACCTCCTAGTACTGGAATATTGGAGGCATATCTTCCAGCATCAGCGTATCATAGGAGCAACCACAGATAAACTGACAGAGCGCTGGTAGCAACCTGCTGTACTGACACCCTTATTCAAAGCAAGAGTGACCTCTTTGGGGTCCACTAAAGGGAGATTCATCTGTGCTGACGTCAAATCAACTTCCCTGTGGAAGGAAAAAGGGATTTTCCTAGGCGGGACCCAGCCCCATAGGCCATCAGTCTTGGAGAAAGCAGATCCTGAGACAGGTCATGAATACTGTGAACTGGGATTCCCACTGTCAGGAAGGACCCTCCTCACTCTGTGTTGAATTTTAACTTTCCTCCCACCACATGCCAGGGGTGGGTATAGATGAGTTTTCCCCACACCCCCTCCTGTTGACACAGGATCCCCCTTAGTACAGACAAAGATTGAGTCATCCTGGCTTGGGTTTCAATACAGAAATGGACAATGGAGCCAAATGTTTCTGCTTTTGTAATTTCTGTTTTCTTGACTCCCATCCTCCTGAAGAGATTCAGGGAGTCAACGTTGAGATGTGGGTAGGACCAGCGACCTCTTTGTTTTAGACTGTCCCTGCCCTTTCCTTCCCTTGGATGAAAAGCTTTGGGGGAGATAAGAAACCGGTATTATGATTTAAGGGATAGGTGATAAGCATAACTTACATCTTTGCAAAACACCATTCTCAACACCATGGCCATAACTAAAAAATGCTCTTTTCTTTGTTTTGTGACTCTCCGTTCCACCTGACAGAGAAAGGTACATCTTTATAAATGCCCCTTTCTGCCAAACTCAAACAGCCAGCGAGACTTTCTTTCCTTCTGCCACCTTGAGCCCAGTGCTACAATTGTGCACCTGCCGCAGATCTTCTGAGATGTGTGCTGGGTTCTGGGTGGTTGGGTGATGTCCTGAGAGAAAGAAGTTCTGAAGCATCCCGGTGCCTGCAGTGGTAATCAGTGGCCTGAGATGGTGGCTGACTCTTCTCCACTCCAGCCCTAGGTCCTTCTTGGACAATTTTCCTAATGGTCAGCTTGGTCTGATAGACCACAGCAGAGTCACATGCACCTGATGCAGTTTCAGCCAAACCACTGACACCACTTGCCCAGTGTGATGGTTAGGAATTATGTCAACTAGACACTCCTGGCCAAGGGTAGGGGCAGGGCTTAACCTAACAATTACTCTGAAGCCTAATGACACCTCTTTGGTGTCTTAAGCCTTTTTGTATGAAAGAGAGCGTGCATGCAAGCAAGTATAGTCGAATTCTCTTTGGCCCGTTGCTTCTGCCTTAGCTGGATCTTGCATCTGGTTATTCGGTTGGCTTTCTCGCATAACCTGCCCATCCCAGGAGCCATCAGTGGATTACTGACAGTGGATTCACTCCGCTGACTTCAGACCTCTGCATACACCAGCCTGTGCCCCTGCTGTCTCTGCACTGTCATTCCATTTCCTGTGCATCTGTTTCCATGGGTCAGGAGGAGTCTGACTTGAACAGGACTGGACTGACCTATTTCTACCCCTGGGTAAACCATTGCTTGATATCAGTCTCTTTCTATAGACAATACATACAAGCATCACGAGTTTTCTTCAGGAGAGACCCCACCAAGAGATGGAGAAACAGAGAAAGGGCATGTGAGCCTGCTCAGAGACTGCCATCTCTGGGGAAGCTTGCAAGGGGAGCCAGGTCTTCAGAGAGAGTGCATTCCTCCACCTTCTTTATTAATGCAGCTGTTCCTTTAACAAATATTTACTGAGCTCCTACTGTTCTAAGTGACAGGGACACAGGGGTGAATAAAAAAGACACCCCCCCCCCCCCCGCATTTATAGAGCTCATATCCTAATGAGAACGAATTTGTGTGCTTAAAGGTACAATTCATATCTATCATACAGCATGATTTGAAAGACAAGCCAATTTGATTTCTGGCCAAAGAAATGGAAAACAATTCCGCTGCTGGAGAGGAAACACTAGGCGTTGCTCTATCTCCTGCTATATCTGCATGATTTAAAGGATGCTCTAGACCAAATTTGACAAACGAACATCACTTCCTGCATGCAACGGAAAGGCCCCTTGTGTTCGTCAACCTCCATACGGCCACAAATTGTGTGTTGTGTGTGTGCACGCCGGTGCGTGTGTGAGCACATGGGCACCAGTTCAACGGGGTATCAAATAAAGGATGTGGGCACTAACGCTGTGACATTAGTCAAGGCAATGACATCACCCGTTAATACTTTGTGTTTTATTAATGATCCCTCCCCCAGCATCTGCCCTACTGCTCCCGAGACGCCTTGCGAGTTGCAGCCTTTGCAGGGCTGCACGTCGGAGCACCGGTGCCGCAGGGGCGGCGGCCGAGCTGAGGAGGCGGAGGAGGGTCAGCTGCACGCCACCCCTGCGTCCTCGCTGTGGTTGCAGTTGTGAGAGCCCCAGCTGTTCTTGCTGCAGAGCCACAGGCTGTTCTCCAACCCACTGCATGCAACGTTATCCAGCCAGATCTGCCCAGTGCCTTGATGCGGAAGGAGCAGAGGCCAGGGCTGGGATTAGAACCAGAGCAGAGGAGAAGCTTCCACTGGGCTCGGTCAGTGGTTTCTCCCACATCCCTTCAGACACCTGGTGCTGCTCCCAGCCCCTCTTTCATACTCACTGGTCTCCATCTTGCTTTCGGCCCTTTGGCAAACGTCTCATCCAGGTTCTTAGCACTGAATCCACACACTATTTGACCCCTCCTCCTAGGGGTCTCTGGACATTCCACTTATTCCCCGGCTAATGTGCAATTCTTGCTCAAATGCCTTTTTCATTAAGTCAGACCCCTGGTTTTAAGCCACTCCACCTCTCTCAAGCCCCTTTCCTTCTGATAGAATGGACTTCCGATCAAGCATTCAGAGGATAACAGATATACTATTTGATTAGAGTGATTTACCCTAGGGTAAAACCAACAGGCGTAAAGGAGAGGGAAAAGGTTCATTTTAAAGGACTCAGATGAACAAGCAGGAATGTGTTTGGGGGTTGAGCAGGGGCAAAAAGTAGTTGGGGGGGCAGGGGGGGACACTTTAACATCTGTGCTTCAAGAGCTCTTATGGCCAAAGAAAGGGGCTTATGACTCTGTTAAAACTTTGCACCTAGGGCTGAAAAACATAGGGCTGCCTGTCTGGTACCCCCAGACCCTTTCCTCACGCTGCTTTTGGAACCGGCCTATGTCTCTTTCCTTGTCTCTTCCCACCGTCTCATTAAAAGCAATGGCTCTCAGTGGTTGGGGCTTTGAGTTCCCAGGCAGCGGCAATGAACCTCTACTGTTTGTCTGTCTCCTTTCTTCATCCTTCCAGCACCAGCCCCAAATTGTCCTTTGGAAGGTCGCCCCTTCCAAACCCTCATTTGGGCTGTAGGGATGTGAACTGGCATTGGTCCTCAAGCCAGCCTCTGCTGGGGAGGTCTGGAGCCCCTAGCGACAGGCGTTTCCAACTGCTTGGACCAGCGCTTTGTTAATCCAAACCACTCTGAGCCGCTTGCCATCACAGTCTCAACACCCAACCAACGAGAGAGGGCCACCCAAGCACCTTGAAGAAAGGGGCCCCTGGCAGATGACTCACTCACCAGCTGGCACATTGAAAATTGCTTTGCCCGAGGTGTAGCCCAGCATGCGGCAGAACACCGTGGCATCAGAATTGCCCCAGTCATCATCGCAGATGGTCCCCCAGATGCCTTCATAGTAGACTTCAGCCCGTCCTTGACCCTGGGCACCGATGATCCTGACATATGCCTGGGCCTCACCTGGGTGAGGAAGCACATGGAAGAGGGGAGGAAACCAGCCCGGGCTTGGCCCACCACAGAGGGTTTCTTTATACTGTCATGAAGAGATGCCCAGACTGGGAACTGGGCTGGCCTCCCGGGCTGGCATGAGAGCCCAGAAGACCCCATCACTACCCCTCTGCACACCCAGGGCAGCGGTGGGACACCAGTGCCAACAGAGCTGGCTAGACTCCCTTGTCTTGTGGAAATAAAGAAAAGCAGGGTGTCAGGGGCTGGAGGGTGGGGTAGAAGGAAGGGGTCAAAGATGGAGAGGAGAGGAAGGGGGTGCGGGGGAGGAAGGCAGGAAGGAAGTTGCACGATGCTCCTTCTATGCCATGGGCTTTTCCCCAGATGATACATTTCTTAGAGAAAAAAGACCGCTTCCCAGCCACACACCCCATTTCCAAGTACAAAATTGACCCCAAAGACAAATTAAAGAGATTAGAAATAGCCATTACCTTTTTGACCTTTTTCTCCTTTTATCCCTTGTTGCCCAGAAGACCCTGTCATGAGGGAAAACACACAGGCACGTAATTTGAAGGGGCCCAAGCTGGGCTCCCCTTGCACTCCTTTGTCCGCAGTGGGAAGAGAGGCCAGGCTAGCTTCGACAGTTTTGCCCGGCGCACTGGCATCATGGAGGCTGTGTGTGGCATGGGCTCCAGGGATGGCACCAGAGGAAAGCAGCCTACGCTGCAGCAGGGAGGACTGAAGGTAGCGTGTCCTTGTTGGCTGCCACCAAGTTGTCCCCCAATCCATGATGACTCCACACGTAATGGGTTCCCACGACAGTGAGCCATCCTTTAATCACGTTTCATTGGCTCAGTTTTCACAGGGAGATCACTAAGTTTTTCTTCCTCCTCTGTCTTAGTCTGGACACTTCGAGAAAACGTGTTCAAATTCATGGGAAACCACGAACCTTTGCTGACACACAGGTGGGGCTGCACATTGTCCGAGAATCAAACTGGCATCTTCTGCCAGGAAAGGGGTAAGAGGGGATACCCCCCAAAATGGATTTCCCCCCAAAGCTATGTATTTAAACATTTTTTTACAAAACAACCTTATCCATGACACTTAATACATTCATCAAATATGTAATTCCATTTTTTAAAATATTTTTTTCTTTCCTTTGAAAATTTTTAATAGCAGTTTAATTGTTTTTGTCAAGTATTATTCAATGTTTTCCATTAAGATATTTTATTTATTTATTTATCATTTAAATCTTTTTATTGGGGGTTTGTGCAACTCTTATCACAATCCATACATACATCCACTGTGTCAAGCACGTTTGTACATATGTTGCCATCTTCATTTTCAAAACATTTTCTTTCTATTTGAGCCCTTGGTATCAGCACATTTTCCTTCTCCCCCACCCTCCCTCCATCATGAACACTTGATAGTTTATTTAAAATTTTGTTCATGTCTTACACCGCCTGCTGTCTCCCTTCATCCATTTTTTTTCTATTTCTGTCCCCCTTGGGGTGGGAGGGGATTATATGTAGATCATTGAGATCAGTTCCCCCTTTCTCCTCCTACCTCTCCTTCCCTTCCTGGTATTGCTACTCTCATTTCTGGTCCTGGGAGGTTTATCTGTCCTGAATTCCCTGTGTTTTGGGGGCTCTTATCTATACCAGTGTACACGCTCTGGTCTAGCCGTATTTGTAAGGTAGAATAGGGTTCATGATAGTGGGGGGAAGAAAGCATTAAAGTAACTAGAGGAAAGTTACTTTGTCAGTGTTATACTGCACCCGAAACATTTTTCAAACTCCCTCATTTTTTCCTTCACCTCTTCTAAGTCATCAAATCCTGTCCTTTCATGTCCCTCTTCATTCTCCAAAACAAAAAGAAGTCACACAGAGTGAGGTCAAGTGAGTAAGGTTCATGGGACAAGAGAAGCATCAGGGTGCCAGTTTACCAAAAACTGGTGCACTGAGATGGATGTGTGAGCAGGTGCATTGTCATGGTGGCAAAACCAGTCCCATCTGCCACAAATCAAGCCTTTTTTGGGCACACAGTGTTATGCAATCTTTTTCAGAACCTTTAAATAGAAAGTTTGATTAACGTCTGACCTAGTGAAATGAACCCCAAACGCACTACTAGTCGACATTTTTGTCTGTTTGGGATGTTGACAGATGTCCAGAATGAGGTTTGTCATCAATCACCATTTTACCTTTCTTGAAATGAGAAAACCACGAATACACTTGAGTTTCTCCCATAGCACTGTCCTTGTAGGCTGTGTTCAACAGTTTCTGCAACATTTTTCCCAAGCAGGAAGCAAAATTCCACAGCTACATGCTGTTCTCTTAAATCACCCATCACAAAAACAAGGTTAGAATGAGAGTGCTTTTATGAAAAAATTCACTGTGACCAGAGAGAACCTTCCCAGGTGATGCCACTGGGTGCACTAACTCAGAAGGAGTGGCTGGATGGTCGCCTAGTGGGAAAAATGTGTACTACAAAACTCCACTCTGCCCAGCGCAATTCCGGTTTTATTTGGGTAACCCTTCCTAATTCTACCACAGAACCACCATGGCCCCTGGCATTCAACAGACCAGAGGCCTGGAATGGCATGGCATGTGTTCTTTATGCAAAGATCCAGTCAGACATGGAAACTGTCTGGTGTGGCAGCAGCATTGGTGGGTGTGGTAGCAGTCCAAGCACCTGCCTTGCTCAGGTCCAAGGCCATGCTTTACTCATACCTGTGTGCTCAGAGCTGTGAACCCTGCTAGTTGAACCCTTGAAACCTCTACCTTCCTCCGAAAACACCCCAAACAAACGGACATCAAGTTGACGCCAACTCATAGTGACCGCGTGACCTCATCGGGCAGAGCAGAACTGCCTCTTTGGGTTTGTGGGACTAAATCTTTACAGGAGTTGACAGCCTCACCCTCCTCCTGGGGAGCAACTGGTGGGCTTGAATGGCTGACCTTGTAGTTAGCATCTCAATGTGTAACCCGCTACATCACCAGAGTTCTTTCTACCTGCCTGGGTTCTTAAGATCAGAGCTTACCTTTCGCTCCTGGAACTCCCTTCTGGCCAGCCGGTCCAGGCACACCCTTGAGGCCTGCTGTCCCCGGGCTTCCCTTGTCTCCCTTCAGGCCTGCAAGACCTGGAGAGGAGGTAGATCATCTCCATCAGCATTTTGTGTCTCTTTCCAATGAGAATCCGAGGGCTTCTGTGTTTAAGGAGTGAATTGGCCTTGCTTAATAGACCTTTCCCCCTTGAATGGACTGCTTGAATATTCAGCCTATATATTTGGTTCAACTAAGGGTATGGTGAAGACCTCTGACTCCCGCCTCGATGTGGATTGAGGATATGCTGGCAAAGAGCTTGCAGGATTTTAGAGGGGTTTGGTCCCCAGCTAACATTATTGTGTGGAAATTCTAGCCATGCTGGGAGGATATGCTAGATGGTTTCTAGGTCTCCACCCCTCAAGTTGAACGAGATCAGATAGCAGGAAATCTCTAGATCATGAGACCAGAAGCATTGTTCGAACATTGGTTGAAGAAGCCATGCTTTAGCACCCATCCAGGCAGGACTGTGGACAGGGCTAGGAATAGAGGGTGTGGCACGTGAGCTCGGCAGCCAACTCTCATCAACGGCTCAGGGAAGGAGGGTGAGAGCAACAACAGTCTCATTAAAAGCTGCAGGGAGAGGAGAGACAAGGCGTGAGGGCCCCCCAAACCAAGCCAAATCAAACCAGTTGTCATGGAGCAAACCCAGAGTAAAACCGCGCTCCGCAAGGTTTTCAGTGGCTGGAGGGTAGAAGGAAACCACCAGGCCTTTGATGGTGCTTCTGGGTGGGCCCCAACCTCTAACCCTTCCGATGGCTGTTGAGTGTCTGAAGTGCTTGCACAGTGCAGTGACTCCTGAAGGACCACGGGGGAGATCCACAGAAGTGGGTCACAGCTGATTTGGGGAGGCACAACTTTCTGCTTTCATCGGAGACTCGAGAGGAAGGTTTGCAGCTCCGTGGGGTCTAGCTGCCCTGCCCGGAGCCCCCACCAGCCCTCTGAGAATTTTCCTTCCCCTTCAATACCCTGTTCCCCTTAGGAGAGTGAATTCATGTCACTCTCCAAAGGTGCGACCGAGGACAGAGTCCTGGAGTATTATTAGCCTCAAATGGGCGTGGGTATGGCAATTTGGGGAGGAAGGTCACACAGCGGAACATTCTGTCCACAAGCTCTGCCCTCTGAGAGAGCAGGCCTCCCAGTCCTCATTCTAAGAAATTCCAATGAAACAAGCCCTTTACCTGGCACTCCGGATTCTCCTTTTGCTCCTATCTGTCCTTGAAGTCCTAAGATCAAAACAAAAAAAGGGAGGTGGGGAAAGAAGATAATAACACTTAGACATTAGACACTTTTAATCTTAGACAACCTCTACCTTTTGTCTGATGAATGCAGTAAGAAAGATACATTGGTTCTCCACGATTGTTGAAAGGCTCTTTAGCAGAGAATTAAAGGAGACAGGCTGTAGATAAATGGGATGAGCAGAGGGGGGTGAAACAGAAATGCTCTGAGTGAAGTCTGGCTTTGATGGGCCCCAGACGTAATGGCTGGTCTTTCTACCCAGTGATCACCTGTTTGGGAGTCTAACTCCAATCCCATTCCTTGAGGCTGGAAGGGAAGATCACTACTGGATGATAATTAGGAGGTATTTTAAAAAATAACATTATATTGGTTTTCAAAATAAAAATCATGGAGTGGCTACCGGGTGCTTTGGAAACTTACCCACAGTCGGACTCCATCCCATGCCATTGATTCAACTCATGGAGAGACCTTTGTTTGTTTGTTTGTTATGAACTTGTTTGTCACTGAAGACTCCAAGCCCATTTCAGTGTTATTTTCCCTCCTCTTTTCCTTTTTTTAACTTAAGCCACTCAGACCGCTGCCTAGGCTCGAAGGATAAGGAATCTGGAGGGGTTATTTAGCTTCTTTTGTTTTTAAAGAAATGTTACACGGCCCATCTCAAGAAATGGAATTACAGCATGCCCTTGTCACGTAGGGTTCTTCCCCTCCAACACGTATGGTTCTTACCCCTCCCTGTTGCTGAGAGCAGACACTTCCTCGTTCACCTGTGGAGCAGCTGTGGGTTTGAACTGCTTGACCTGTGGTTAGCAGCCCGGCGCGTAACCCACCACAGCACCACCAAGGACCCTTCCCATAATAGATGCTACAGACGTATTTGGAGTTATTTCTGCATGGCCCGGATAACAAAAACAAGCTGATTGCCATCAAGTTAATTCTGACTCATAATGACTCTACAGGAGAGAGTTGAACTGTCCTGGGGGTCTCGAAGGCTTTACAGAGCTTTCTTCCTTGGGTGGCTGGTGGGTTTGAACCATTACCTTTGAGTTAGCAGCGAAGGGTTTAACCAAGGCTCCTTATTTGGTGCTCAGAGAGGCCAACTGGTCCCATTCAGGTCCAGAACAAGAGACAACAAGGACTGCAACCATTCACGATGCCCTGATCTATAGTTCTCATGGGGAAATCCTTCTTTCCTTTTGTTGCTTTTACCGGTCCATCTTCTCACTCAGTAAATGCTGTGGAAAACCCATTCAGCCCACAGCTCCCTTCTGGGTCCCTCTGCGATAACCACTTGTTGGGTTAGCAACACCAGGATCGCTTGATTTTTAAGTGCTAATATTGACGGGCACTTACATCTTAGAAGAATATTGATTATTGATTGGCACTTAAATCTTAGACAAAGAGGACCCCCCAAGATGGTCGCACAACCTTGGAAAAAGCCAAGCGTGCGCTTGACTATGAGTCGATGCTACTAGAAGGTGAGGGCAGGAGCGCCGGCAGCTCTGTGTGGGGCTGTGCTCAGGAAAATGTTTTCACGGGTTTTCCTCCCATGACACACCCTCCGCAGCACAGACCCACCCTTGAACTCTCTCCAGACGCCGCCGAGAATGTCCATCCTCATGGCCGATTTCCTGTCAGGCCGGTCCCTGCCTCCTACGTCCATTCAAGCTTGAGGGGGCTTTCTGAACACCTACTGTGTGCTCGACAAGAGACAGCAAGAGATGGGACCTGGCCAGTCTATTCAGGATAATGAACAAGGAAAACCTAAGCCCCTAGCACTCCCTGGGGAAGAAGCTCAGACAGCTGAGGATGCAGGTCATGGCAGCAGAAGGAGGTGCTGGAAGGATCCCGGCGGGCATTGATTAGGGAACAACGGGGTTGGGGTTGGCTTTTCGAAAGGCTAGGGGTGTCTTTGAGGTCAGCCCCTGGAAAACGGATTTGGCTCACAAGTGTGGTCTGTGCTGGTCCTGGCCCTCCCTGATGGATGGTGTTTCTCCTGAGACAATCGAGCGCTTGGTTGTAGAGGCAGACAGATTAGACTTGAGTCCTGTCTCTACCTTATGTTGTCTTTGTGGCCTGAGTAAGTTGTCCCCCACCCTCAGCTTCAGTGTCTCCTTGTGTGAGTTTTCTTGTTGCTTTGTGGGTCAGCTACGAGACTGAAATGGCCATTTGTACCAAGTGAGTCCTGTAGACACGAGAAACTGCTCAGTCAATGGTACCCTGTAGCCCTTGTTCTTGCTCCTTCACTGATCTATCCTTGAGGCTGGGAGAAAGGGTGGAAACTGGGACCCAGAGCTTCATTTTTAAAGGAAATTGATGCGAGTGTGTTTCTCTTAATCACATACAAACTTACTTTTTCTGGGTATTCACAGACGAACCATGCAAAGAGTTCAAAACATTTCTTGGCAGGAGTTTTATCTAGAGACATAAGACCTACCCTCAAAAAATAAGCAACTTAGAAAGCAACATGCCCCCCGACTGCTTAGGGCACCAATAAAATGTTTATACTGGTCTTGCTCCAAGGGGAATCCCCCATTTCAAGCCCAGAGTGCTGCGGAGCTGACAGAGACCTGGGCTTTCTTGACAAGTCGTCCCGATTCACAGATGAGAAGAGCCAGGCCCAGAGAGGTCAAGTACTGCTCCTGGCTCCTCAGGCACCTCCCCAAGTGCAAGATGGAAGCCAGGGCAAATCTAACTTCTCTGAAATCATTTACTCTTTGTTGTGCTATACAACATCAGGAAAAGTATAGATTTTGCAATCAGACTTCAGGACCAAATCCCATGAGCCCTTGAGCAAAAGTGTTACATCCTTGGGGATAATACAACTTACTTTTCATGTGCATGGGTAGATGAAATAAGATCAGGAGAATCAAGTTCAAGCACAGAGCAAGAATCATCGAGCGAACTTTTGCTTCTATAATTATTGTACAATAATGGTGAGATCTACCTGTTATCCAGGTGAAGCCAATCCCTGGGTATTTCTCCATTGTCATTCAAAGAAGTTAGACATTCTTTTGAGAGATAAACGACTTTATTTACAAATTGGGGAATGCATCCATTTGAAAAGCTGGCTTGATATATTCAAACCTGGACAAACACCATTGTATCTTTAGTTGGGGGAATACCACTGTCCTAAAACTGATGAGTATGTATTATGTCCCATTAAGAGAAGACCTGGCTTTCAGCCATCATCAAATAGCAGACACCATCCCCATACCACCACACACACACACACACACACACACACGAGAGAGAGAGAGAGAGAGAGAGAGAGAGAGAGAGAGAGAGAGAGAGATTGAAATGACCAAGAGAAGGTGTGGAAAGGGTGACTCATTCCATGGCTTCTCACAGTCTTTAGGAAAACCACAAAAGTTCACAGGTCCAGAGTCCACAACTCACCAGAAAATGGCACTGCCTACCCCTCCGGCCTACTTCCTACCCCTCCTCCAGGATCACTAATCTACACAGAGCCACCCTCACGCTTCTGTGAGTTCACCTGCTCTGTTTCCCCAGTCTAGGCTTCTCTCACCACCACTGTCTGGTCAACCTTCCTTCATTCTCCAAGACTGAGCTCAAATTCTCACTCCACTGCTGCACTGGTCTGTTTGCCAGCTCACCAGACCGCGAAGTATCTAAGAATTACGTAACATTTTCTTAAAGAATGAATGAATGAATCAGCCCATCTACTCATCAGTTTTAACTGGGAAGGACCTACTCTGGTGGGAGTCTGCAGCACTACCTGGGGCAAGGGGATCCCGTTGTCTGACACCATTGTCTACGATCCTGCACGCTAGCAAAGAGGGGGGCCTGGGGGGCCAGTTCCCCAGACAACTTTACACATAACCCTGTCCTTATTACGACCTCTTCTGACCAGAATGCCACAGGGAGTCCTCCAGGCAAATGCACACATTGCAGTGTATCTGACACTGTTTGGGTGGGGCTGTCTGTCTGTCTCCTACACCACACTGGAATCTGAGTGCAGACACTGGGTTTCCTATATCCCCTGGGGCCTAGTCTAGTGTCCCAGACTTTTTTTAACGAATGAGCCTAGAACAGGTGCTCAGGACATATTGATGGATGGACAAAATTAACACAATGCTACGATTTAGTCTGTGCACTCCCTTAGTGTGGGCAGGTCCTCTGGTATAATGTGCAAGAGGAAGCTTCTAGTCCAACTGACGAAAGGCAGAGCCCTGACCTTGGGAGAGAGGAAACCATGCACACGGCTGAGAAACACGGAGATGGTAGGGCGGGTGCACTGCTCACCTCCCCAGTGTTGGAGTTTGGGTCTGGGCATTTGGAGTTTATCAGAACCCTGAGCAGAAGGAAAACCAGCTCAGAACCTTGAGCTCAGGGGCCCTCCGAGGCTGGAAATTCTCTCTTTAATCTCTTTCTGAAGCAGCAGAGAACCTTAGGCACCAGAGACCTCCTGCCTTCTTCTCACGGTCCTATCCGGGAACAAAAGCCCTTGCCCCTGTCCATCCTGCATACCAGCAACCACCCTGGCGCCACCATGCCTTCGGTACCTTTGTCTCCTTTGCTTCCTTTTAGCCCCACAGCTCCCGGACTCCCTGGTGGCCCCGGTGGTCCTGGAGAACAGATTGAATAAGGTGGGTAAGCTCTGGGCTCAGGGGATCCGGAGGCTTCTCTCCTCATCCACCTCAGGACCCAACACCTTACCTGTTAGCCCAGTGAGGCCAGTCCTGCCAGGATCTCCCTTGGGACCCAGGGACCCTGCCACACCTGGAGGGCCTTGCGATCCTGGCTGTCCTGAAAGGTAGGCAACAGTTGCAAGGCTGAAGTGCTTTCAGAGGACCTGGCTACCCTTCCCCCTGTTCCCATCACTCAGTAACTTTTTCAACATCACTCTTTAGAGACCACAAACCAGTCCTGGTCTCGAAAACGCAATTCGTGGGAGGGAAATCTCCAAGGTGCTGACTATTTATGAATTGTTTCCACTCACTGCTACCCAGTTTGGGACTTGTGGACTTACTAGGGAGTGCCCAGTTCCACACTTCTGGGTGTCAGGGTGGGGCAAAGATCTCAAGAGAAAGCTCAATTTAGCCTCTGTGTGGTGCTCGGTGGTTCCTTGCAGGAGAGACCAGCTTTCTAAGCAACTCCCGATGATGCTCAAGCTGTTCTACGGGTTCATATTACAGTGAATAAGCGACGAGGGATCATGGGATTGACAGCAACAATGGGCCTTAGAATGATGGCCAGGTTCCCAGTGTGTACCTTGGTCGCCTTTGATTCCAGGGGAGCCAGGTTGACCTAAGAGGAAGAAGGAATTTTAGCAACTTTTGTTTCTCTTCTGCTTCAGTTGGGCAAAAAAATCGTGACATCTACAGGTCATTGAACCTGACCAGGTGGTTGCTTACCTGGTGGGCCTGGTATCCCAGAGTCACCTTTACTCCCTGGGTCTCCACGGGCTCCCATGGCCCCCATGTCTCCTTTCTTACCCATGTCCCCTTTGCTGCCTGAAAAGTTAAGAAATCATCATCAAGTTTCAGGGGGGTACACCCAGCAGGGTAACCCAATTCTAACATACCTACCCCAATCCCCTTCTAAACTCAAAACTCCTTGGGTCTCCCTAGGATGCTTAGAAATGGAAAACATAACCCCCTGTCCTTTAACAGTGCTCCGCTTTGCCTCAGAGCCAAGCCATAAACTCTTAGAGGGTTGATGCCAGAGATTGGACATGCTTGACCCTAACCATTTACTCAGCCTCAGGCCCTGAAGCTGGCCCCTCAGAGCCCCGCACAGCCCTCTGGTCTCCCAGCTCAGTCAGCACAGTCAGGTTCATCTTAACGTCCCCATTTAGGGGAATGGTTTTTTTAAAAAAATAAACCTTGCACAGGGAAATCTGAACGATCGAGGAAAGAGATCCCAAAGGTTGAAAAGAATAGAAACGCTGAGCCGTGGGTGGAGAGAGAGGCACATTGCAGCATCTCATCTCTCTGCCCCAGGTCAGGTGCAGACGCCCCTGGTTCCAAGGGTTTCAGATGTTCCGTTTGTCATCAGCATCGGGGCACATCCCAGCCTGTCCTCTCCTCGGTCCTCTGCTACTCCTCCCTGCTTTTGTGCCACTGCTCGGTGCGTATCAATTGCGTGAATTGGCTTGTTGGGGTAGAAGTTTGTTAAGAGGCATTTTTTTCTTCATTCTATCATTTTCAAGGCAATAGGAAAGGGAGCGAAATCTAGAACGGTGGCCGGCTTTTCTCCAATGAAGGCGGAAGTGGGGAAGACGGTCTGAATGAAGGAGAGACAGGCGCCTGCGCACAGAAAGCCTGCAGAGGGTTCTGGTTCTAAGTGTGGGAACCTTCGTGAATCAAGTTCGGTGAGCAGCTTGGGAATGAAGAGCGGTGACATGTTTGGGGAGTTGGAGAATAGCTGTTGCCTGGTGGGAGCCAAAAGCTACCGTTGCGGCCTCTTACATCATGGGGCAAGTCGCACAGATGTGCGTCAGGGTGGAAACATGTACCAAAATCGCCATTTTTATCAAATAGGTCTGTTTGTTTGCTTCCCCCTAAAGGAGCTAGCTATTGCTTAAACTTTTAAATAAACAGGACTATTTTTTTTCATACTCTTCCCTATGTCATTTGCATTGAATGATGTGTGTAAGAAGTTTGGTCAATGCGCTGTTAAATTCTTTAGAAGTAGTCCTAGAGGAAATAGAACCAATTATGTTCCTTAGAATCAAAGATGGCAAGAATTCAATTGACTTGCTTCGAACATGTCATTAGGAAAGACCAATCGCTAGTAAAGCACAACCTATTTGGTAAAACAGGGGGCCTGTGAAAACGGGAATCATGGGAATGGGGTGACCTAAAAGCCACAGCAGTGGACACCCAGAGCCTAATGGCCATGAAGATGCGCAGGGCCGGCCCTGGCTTTGTTCACTTATCGATGAGGACAGGGCTGACGTGATGACAGCGAACAGCAAGCACACGATTTCTCTCAGCTTGAATGTGCTTATGTGTGTATAAAACGCACACTTTCTGAAATAAAAGATATATATTCTGGAAAAATAACAGCACAGATGACAGTGCCCAGCCATTTGTGGGAATGATGAATGTGCACTTATTAGCATGGCTGGCAATTATGTCCTTGTAGGTATATGTCCCACTGCCCACCTGGGCATTATGCCATTTTTTATTTCAAATACGAGAAGGTGGACAGATGGCAATGGAGCATCCAGGCTCAGAGAACTAGGAGGAAAGGCCTGGTGATCTTCTTTTAAAAAGCAGTCCATGAACGCCTTGTGGGTCACAACAAAGCCTTGCCCAACAAAAACTTAACAGTTGCCGAGTCAATTCTGACTTATGGAAACACTGTAGGGCCGAGCAGAATTTCCCCACAGGGTTTCCAATAGTGTAAATCTTTACAAAGGCCGACTGCCACATTTTTCTTCCCTGGACCAGCTGGTAGGTGCGACCACTGAACTTTTGGTTACTGGTCGAGTGATTTAACCACTGCAACACCAGGACTCCATTGTCCCACTAGACTAAAACATGTCAGTGATTGTGAAGCAGGTACAGGATCAGGTAGCATTCTGTTCTCTTATGAGAACAGTTCCCATGAGTTGGAACCTACACAGGCGTAGCTAACAATAACAACAACAGACATTGTTTGTTGCACTCTCAGTTTGGGCCAGAACCAAAAAATGATGCAATTGTTTGCTTGGCCATCGAAAGATCTGGGTGGCATCAGTGTTGCTACAACTTCTCGTGTCTCCATCAGAGGAGACCATGTTGGCGAGGAAAGCAGGGTCTTATCAGTGAAAGGCTTGGAGTTTGCCTCCATGGCCTCTTTTGGAGTTTCAAGATTCCCATGAGAGCTAAGAGGTGGCGTGAGGAGAGTGGCTTTGTCTGCTGGAAACCACCGGACCGTATGTCGCATTATCAGCTGGCTGGGCGAAGGAGGTAGAATTGCAATCCCACTGGGACCAGGTTTTGTTTGGCCCCATCGAGTGCCGAGGCTGAAAGGAGACTAGGCAAGTCGTTTGTCAGAGAGACCTTGTGAACTTGACAGAGGAAGTCTGGGCAGAAGAGGAGGCAGGGAACCAATTTCTAGAGAACTGAAACTGCTCAATTTCTCCTGGCTGAACATCCCATTTCCGTGTCGGAGTTGGGGTGTGGACACTGTGACCCCTGGTGGCCGGAGTTCCAGGGGGGATGGCAGGCAGAATGACTCAGACTTAGAGGGCAAAGAGCTAGGGGGCAAAGGCCTGACTGGCAATTCTTTCTCTGGGGCTGGTAAGTCTGAAGGAAGTTTAGACATCCTTCCCCTGCCTGCAAAGAGAGCTGCTCGGTGTCAGCTCTGGAACAATCCTCGGGGTCAACGCTCCAATCATTTGCCTAGAGGCTGACGAATCCTCGCTTCAATATTGCCAGAAAGAAGCCTGTGGCCCCAGTAAATGGGCTTGCATCATTTCACTGCAGGCCACCCCATCCTTACACAATTGCTCTTCCCTTTCCTCGACCCAGGTGGTTCTCATTCTTCTGCTGGGAAACACACACAAGTCTTTTTTCGATCTCTCATGGGTGGCTTCCAAATATTTCAGGATATCGGATGTGCCCCTGGCTAACGGAGCTCATCTTAAAGACACACAGCCCACACCTGCAGACAAACCCTGCTCCGCCCTCTGTGGACACTGCGTGAGTGGCCATGTCCCCAGTGAGGGCACAGCCCCTCAGACCTCCCAGCCAGCAAAAAAACCCCACCTCAGCCTTACCTGGAAGACCCAGCTCTCCTTTGTCTCCTTTAACTCCACTGTCCCCTCTTGGACCAATGAGCCCCCCATCGCCTTTGCTGCCTTTCTCTCCTGGAGGTCCTGCGATACCTAGGAAGAGAGACCAGTAAGGTGAACCCCTCCTGTCCCTCCTCAGACAGGCTCTTAGGCAACCAGGAAGAGAGCACTCTGCGGGGAAAAGAAGGGTACCCTAGAGGAGGTAGGGGCTATGTGGACTCATCTCTTGGATGATCTTGATGAGGTCTCTTGGGTTAACCGATGCCTCCCCAGAAATGGGACTCAAGAGACTGGAGACAGAGTTGGGATGTAGACAGGGGGATGCTTGGGCACTGGCTGAGTGTCTTGGATCCTGAGGCAAGAAATGCAATTACCAGTGGGTCCTGGCTTCCCGGGAGCACCCGAGGGTCCTTGGAGGCCTGCAGAAAGAAAAAGAAGAATTCAATCACTGTGGTCTGAGTCCCTCCATTAGCAGGCTGCTAGAGGATTCCTCTTGGGCAAGAGGCACAGCCCCAATCCTCCAGGGACACAGACTCAAGTATAGAGATGGCTCTGTCTCTCTTTTGTTTCTCCATCTTTCAGTCTCTCATTCTCTCCCTCTCCCTCTCCACACAGGTACATACAACTGAGTTCCTGGCACTCTTAAACAATGTTTTCTTTCTCCCCAGGCATGGAGTATGCAGTGCCTGGAAATGGCATTCCATAGGAGCGTGGAAGAAAACCTGTAGCATTGATATGAATCATGACTCTGTTGTTCATCAGGCTGACAGGCTTTAGAAAAGTCACTTAAGTATTCCCTATCTCCGTGTTTTTAATCTGTGAAATGGGCTGGGCTGGGAACTAACAGGTGCACCATTAAGACTTCAGGGAAGTCTGAGAAATGATGGCTTCCTTCCACTTGGCACAGTATTTGTGGGCTGGACTGTGGAGTAGAGACAGTGGGCGGTGGGATCCCTATGTGGAAGAAAGAGGGTCCAGGAAGCCCCATGGAGGGGCGGAGTAAGGCACAGAGTCTAAAGTGGACTGAGGGATCCAGGGAGCAGAGTAAGAAAGGGAAGGGAGAGAAAGAAAGAAAGAGGGATGGGGTGGGGTTACAGTAAGGCCCCCCTGCAGGGAGATGCTATTTCCTATGGCTCTACCCCGGTATGTCAGTGGTACCCAGAGTAGAGGGCAGGGCGGGAAGACTACAGATAAGTCTCTGAATGCCATGCTCCCATTCAGTTCCACTGAAACTGTCTTTTTTCATCTGACTTGAACATTTGGGTAAAGCCAGCATTGCCTGACTGCAGTGGGGTTTCACGGCCTTGTTCCGAGTCCTGCCTGCAGGTGAGGAACGGTCGTCAGAGCCATCGAGTGCAGGTGACAACCTTGAAGTGTCTTGAAGAGAAAGGGAGACTGGCAGCTCTGTTCTTCCTGCAGGGCAGGGAGGAGCTGAGGGCCAGGGCTGGGCAGCCTGATGGCATGGTCTTTTAGGATGGCTCCTAGTACATGCGGCGTGGCCGTGAGTTATGTGCACCCAATCTGCCTTCCCTTTTCCTTGGCAAGAAGACGACAGTGTGCGCATGAGTGTGTGCGCGAGCACCGGTGTGTGAGTGTGCACAAGGACTAGTATGTGTGCATGAACACTAGTGTGGGTGTGTACACAGGCATCAGTGTGTGAGTGTGTGCACAAGCACCAGTGTATGAGTGTGTACACACACTAGTGTGCGTGCATAAGCACTGGTGTATGAGCGTGTGCATGAGCACTAGTGTGTACAATAACTAGTGTGTGAGTGTGTGCGAGCACCACTGCGTGAGTGTGTGCTTGTGGACCAGTGCACGAGTGCATGCATGTGCACCAGTGCATGAGTGTGTGCACAGGCACCGGTGTGTGGGTGTGTGTAGGAGTACCAGTGCGTGGGTGTGTGCGCGAGCACAGGCCTTTGAGTGTGTGTACAACCATTAGTGTGTGGGTGTGTGCATGTGCACTGGTGCACAAGTGCATGCATGCACACCAGTGCGTGAGTGTGTGGACAAGCACCAGTGTGTGAGTGTGTACATGGGCACCAGTGTATGAGTGCATGCACAAGCACCAATAGATGCTTGCACAAGGATGTGTGTGAGTGTACATGCCTGTGTGTGTTTATGCATGACTGCATGGGTGTGTATGAGTATTCAAGTGTGCATGTGCGTGTGTGTGCATGTATGAGTGTATTTGCGTGTGCATGTTCCAGTGCACATGTGCTGCAAGGTCATACATATTCTCCTTTAGAATGCCCAGTCTCTCACGGTACCATAAACTCCTCCCCTGGTATCATCAACACCCACCCCAGCGCATGGGACTCCTCTCTCTTCCTTTCAAATGCCCTGCAGGAGACTTGTACCAATAGACTCTTTAGGACCCATTCTATTAAATTCCCTCCAAAAATCAGTTCCTAAAAAAAGTTGATTTTCTCTCCTGAAAAGTTTCCTGTGTGGAGCTACTAGATTCCTATAACCAGTTGTATTTTCTGCCCAGAGAACTGGAGACTCCTTCATATCCTGGAATTTTTCACAAATCTTCCCACTCATGAGTTCTTTCCCTCGTAATGACAGTCTGATTGTCTTTGCGTCTTTATTTACTTCCCAGCAGCCTCTAGTCACTCGGCAGTCGGCAGGGTGAGAGTGCAGAATAGAGTGTGGTGGAATGGAGCAGGCGCAGTGAAGTGGAGCGAACGGTGAGAGCCACGTTGCCTGGGTGTTGATTCTGGTGCCAGGTGAGGGACAGCTCAGGTCCCCTGCACTGGATAAACTAAGCTGTTGTCATTAGGAACACGCTGTCTATAGTCCAAGCTATAGCCTAAAAGACGAAAACTAATACGTTTGAGCCACTGTCGTATGTTTTAAAAACCATTCTATCTGACCAATACTGTGAAGCATTCTTAGCCTCGTTTTACGACAAAGAAACTGAGTACAGGGACATTCAGAAGGCCACGGAGCCAGTTTGTAATGGAGGCAGATGGCCTCTCACACCAAGAATTTGGGCTTTCACAAGTGAGGCTCCAGGCTGGCACTCTGAGGGCGGAGAAGAAATCAGAGAGCCCACACCTCCAGCTCCTCGCAAGGCAAAGCAAATCATCTGCCTGCTACAGCTTCTGAGGCTCGACTGCAGATCTTCCTGAGAGAGAACACTTCTAGTGCTTCAACAGCACAACTAAGGCCCCACAAGACAGGGGGGGGGCCCCCTCACACAGACTCATCGGGATTGGCTCTGTGAGAAGCCCGCTGGACCCACTTTGAAAAGGCTTGCTGTCCATTTTCTTCTCACCTGCCTCTCCTTTGATTCCTGGTGGGCCTTGGAGTCCCGGGGATCCTGAAAGAAAGGGAATTCAGAGAGTGGCCTGAACTAGAAGAGACATGAGTAACAGGGCCAGGAGACAGAGGCTCGTACCTGGGACTCCCTTTAGTCCTGCAGCGCCCTTGGCTCCCTTTTCGGCTGGTGGCCCTGGCAGACCGGGGGGCCCAGGCATACCTGGGGCCCCCTTTTGACCTGGAAGAGCCAAGGAAGAGGATAGGAGGCCCATCAGTATGGAAATGCCACCCACTCAGGCACTGGTTATTCATTTAACGAACGCGCACTTAGCATCCAGGATGAAAGGAAAGGAGACAGAACTGTTCCCAAGAAGAATCTCACAGCCCACTCCTCCAAAAACAATGGAATGGACACTATCGTCCCAGAAAAATGGAGTCAGACAGCTCTGGATTTAAGATTAGCACCACCCCTTTCTCCTCACAGCCTTGTGCAAGTTATGTTGCATCTCAACTTCTTCAACAATAAAGTGAGGTGGGTGTGCCAGTTCTGGCAGACTGCCCTGGGGTCACCATGTGCACACCCAACTTGGAAACTGTACACACAAGCCCCTGGACAAATAGGAGGATCGTTCCTGGAACTCAAATGTGCTTCTCTATGATTTTAGAGACAGGAGCTCAGATGATCCCACAGGTGTCCCGGTAGGACAGGGCTCTTCGTCTGCACCATTCAGAGGAAGAATGGGAGGCTCTGGGGAAAGTAGAGACAGAATCTGAGAGAGATGTGGAGAAAGAGAGCACTGGCTATTTTATAGACATTAGTGAACACACACACACACAGAATGGCACAAAAACCTGCTGCTGACCCCCCCGGGGCACGAAGTGGGTAATGTCTGGTCTTGAAGAGCTCAGTCAGGGGTTCCAGAATGGGCCCCCCGC